GTGCTCAGGAGGTTAGGCTGAAACTAGGCCCTGAAACTATAAGCTAACAGCATATTTTAGCCTTTGGTTTTTTCTTAACATTTGCGTGGGCCATTACATATAAGCATGACATCTCATCTTGGCCTATTTTTTTTTTTTGCCAGTTTCTCCCTAATTATGAATGTGAAAAGAGCCAGTTCTGTGTCATCAGCTTTGTACTCTGGCTGCAGGTATACAGAACAGCTGTTCCACACATGTACAGCTGAATGACGGGTGCTCTGTAAGGTGCCTTTGTATTTTGTTATGATTTTGGTGTTGTTTTTATTCTCTTCTGAAGAATTTTACATAAGAAAAAATGGGTAAGAATGTAGCCTGGGATATTAGACTGCACAGATACATCTCAGCTTGAACAAGTATGAGATTCATCATCTTGGATAAGCTACTTAATGTTCTGTATTTTACCACGTTTACAGAATTATGTCACTGATAGTAGTTTTCCCTGGGAGTCTGGGAGAGTTGAGTGACATGAATGAGTATATGTACAGTGCATAAGCAGGTACCACACACCTAAATCATCTAAATGATTTTAACCTTATGATTAGCCTTGGGAATTTTCCAAATCCAAGGACCTAGTGACTTCTGTGGGTGGTTTTTCTCTTCAGCCCAAAAGCCATTTGTTGTTTGAGAGTTGAGTTGTTTCCCAGCCCTATGTGGCTTCTCTCTTTCTTTTGAAGAACTTGTTTATCTGGTGGCTCACTTGTACCTTTATTTTTGCCCTCTCAGTTTAGCTCTGGGTTCCTGTCTACTTGCCTGTAAAGAAGAGTACCTTCAGCATCTTTGTATTTCTCTCAAACCCAATAGGCTCAAAGTGAAAATTTCCATCAGACCTGAATAATCTTTTCTATTTGGTACCTCAAAGGATGCAAAGCATTGCCTTGCAGTTACAATCATTGGCTACAAAACAGGACCTGCCTCTTTCCACACAGACGTACTTCAATCAGTGTGTGGCATATGCTGCAGATATTTCAAGTATTAGAGAAGAAAGTGGCAATTATAACATAGTTAGAGAAACACTATGTAAAATCAGCAATGGTAAAAAATGATGTAGAAGAGGGAAGCCCGTTCTTGATTTGTGGAAAAGAACACATTCAGAGGTCTGACCAAAAATACGGCTGGACCACTGCATGGAGGAAGGACTACTACTCATCCAGCAACCCTAGACACGATATAAACAAACAAGCAAACATACACATATATATTACAGATAGATAGATAGATAGATTGATAGATAGATAGATTGCTAGATAGATAGATGATTGCTAGATAGATAGATGACAGATACTTGATAGATATAGGTAGAGATAGATACAGATGATGTAGATATAGACACAGATAAAGATAATATCCCTGTTTATACTGTTATGATTAGGTGTGAGTACAGAACATTGACCCCAGAACTTGTAAACAACAGTATATATTACATTGTATATGCAATAAACTCCATCATTCACAGCCACTTACCTATAGGGAACAGCTTGTTTAGTTTTCTGTCTCTTAGACTCAACTACTAAGAGAGATGCTGGCCCAAGTGTTTTCATATTATTTGGTAAATAGCTTAGGATATATGTGTATGTACTGGGAACTTCCTATATTTTCAACATACCATATCATTAGTTTTCACAGTAAGTGGAATGTATAGCATCATCGTCCTGCTTTACAGATAAGGGAACTGTCTTGGAGAGGGTCAATGGCTAGCTCTAAGACTAGAGGGAATAATAGTAAGGCAAAAGAAGTCAGTGCTCAAATGTGAGGAGAACACATAGAGTTCACTGCTAAGGTCTTTGCTAATTGTGAAATTCCAGGATTTGTTCTGAGCGCTTCTCCTTTACCTGTAGTTAGAGCACAGGGGATGAGAAGGTAGAATTTTCCTTAATTGCAGGGGTGGTGAAGGGATTAGCATAGGGCTTAAAATACACTGCTGTCTTCCAAGAGTTGTCAAAGTATATTGTGTCCCTAGAGACATTTAAAAGCAATTAGATCCCACATTTGCATGTGGCTGTGGTTTGAGAAGCTGCAGGTTGTCACCAAAGGAGACTTTAATGGAGTTTTATGAGCAAACTTGGAAATGTTCAAGTAAGAACTTACTTTGCAAACACCTTTGTTACCTTCGAGTTAATTCTGACCATCTGGAACCTAATTTGTCATTAGAACATTTATCAAGTCACTTTGTAAAAATATTTTTGGTTTAATAGAAAACAATCTATGAGTGGCTAAAGTAGAGACATTATATATTAGTCTACTCCTGAGATGACCCCCAATTCTGTTTGCTAAGCAGCATCTATTTAGCCTGAGAATCAATAATCCTTCTCTTTTTTTTCTTGTAATTCTCTTCTTTCAAAGAACATACCACAGGATTGACCTAGATGGGCATTTTCAAGTTTTGTGCCTCTTCAAAAACTCTTTTTGAAAAAGTATACTATCTCATTATTACTTAAGAATTATTTAATACTATTATTTAATACTATTATTTAAGAATTATATACAGCATATTTTGATAATAGTCACATATCTTCCTCAAACTCCTCCAAGTTCCCTGCTCTCCTTCCTTTCCTGCCCCCTTCCATTGTGTGCCTTAGTTTTTTGAGGTACTATCTTCAAACAGATGTGCAGATGCTCTGGCTCTGACAGTCTTTCTGCGGTCTCTTCCACTATGTGCCCTGAGCCTTAGATGCAGGAGTTATGCTGTAGACATATCTATCTGTTGGGGACGGCACCCATGGTCAGCTATTCTCTACAGTTTGAGCAGTTGTGGGTTTGTATTGGTCTCCATCTACTGAAAAAAAATAAGCTTCTTTGATAAGGGGCAAAAACTACACTTTTCTGTAGATGGAAGCGTAAGTGTTTAGATGCAGTTAGACATCATACTGCCTTGAGAAAGTGGCACTAGTAGAATCTATTCTACATTCCATGGCCTCTCCGCTTTTATTTCTTCATCTTTGAGATGAGTACATTTGTGAAGTCCCTTTTTTTTATTTTTAAACACTCCATAGGGTCTGGAAAGATACCACAGTCAGTAAAAGTACACACTGTACAAGAACAAGGACTTAAGTTCAAGCTTTAGAACTCATGTAAAGAAGCTGGGCATGGAGGCACTTGTCTGTAATCTCAGGGTTGGGGAGACAGCCAGACCCCTGCCAGCCAGCCAGCGGAGAATGCTTAATGAGCTCCATGCTGGTGAAAGACCATTTTCAAAAAGAGGTGGATGGCAATCAAGATTGACCTCTGGCCTCTTCTGCACACACTCACATACAGACACACCTACACAAACACGCACACACACAATAGTTATGAGCATATAATATTTTGTAAGTAAAGCCCTTGGTGAGAACATCGGTGGTAACTGTTGTGATAACCTCTGCCGCTGAGCTTTGGGTGATCTCGGAACACTTGCCTTACGACTAGCAACTTCTCCCAAATGGAACAATCATGCCTATTTTAGAGGAGGATCATAATAGGGCAGTTTTTTTTCATTTAAAAATTTTTTTCTAGATTATTTTCTTGAAAGAAAAGAATTTGTGATATGAACTAGAAATATATAAGGTGGCTTTTTGAGAGTTCTGCCTTAAGGGTACCAAAAACCTCAAAAAGAATCTTCAGCATTTATGTCAATGTTGTGAATTTTAGCTAAAAGCCTCATATTTCATAGTTTTTGGCCCATGCTACTAGTTAAAAAATCACATTATATTCATTGTAGGATAGACACAAAATTTAAGGCAAATATGGATAATCCAGGTACATTTGCATGTTTTAATATGTATACAGTAACCTAACCCTCAGAATTTTACTAACCTACTTTAAAATTAAACAAAATAAAGTTATTCCCCCCTCTTTGCTATTGCCAATATTTTAAAAGGAAGGTAGAAGAATTTTTGCTACTTTTCTCAACAACCCAAGCCTATTCAAGAGCAAGTTTCCATAACTCTCTATATAGGGGACATCTCTGCATCTCACCCTAGCCCCCGAGGAAGGACCTGTCCAACAACTGTACTTAAGGTACCCGTTTCCCAGGATATAGACTGCATCTGCACATTGTATAAGGGTTTGGAAAACTGTGTGCTAGATGTATATCATTCTCAAAGTTCCATTACACCCTCAAAGCTACAAAGTTACAATATGTGTGTATGAATACATAGACACATACACACATGCATACACACATACATGTATATATGTTTATATACATACACATACACACACAGACATATGTTTTTCTCTTTCTACACAGAGTTTTTCTGTCTAGCCCTGGCTGTCCTGGCCTTGCTTTACAGACCAGGCTAACCTCGAATTCACAGATACACATGCCTCTGCCTCTCGAGGGCTGGGATTATAAGCATCCATCACCATGCCCAGCCATACATACATACATATATTAAAGGGAATTTAATACTTACATCTGTTTCTCTGTAGCAGCAATTTACACTAATCTAGAGCACAGCCATCAAGAGGAAGGAAACAAATCTGAGGTAGTTCAAATTATAGTCACAGAAGTCAAAGGTACCAGTGCACAGTGCTCTGGAGGGCTCGATTCCCAGAACGTGGAACTGTGCCTGAGGCAGAGGAGACATTCATTCGGGTCAAGCTGTTTGAGACTTTGGGACATGCAGAGGGACCTGGAGCCAACTCAAGGCAATGACCTTCAGATGCAATCTAAATATTTATATAGTAACAGAAATGTTAATGTTTTATTGTGTAATTGTTAATACTTTTATTGTACAATTGCCTTTACTTTTTTCTTTGTTCTCCCCCCAATCTCTTCTCTTCCTCTACCACTTGCTCTCATGTATGCCCAGTCTTCTCTCTTTTTTCTTATTTCTCTCCCAATTCTCTCCTTTTCTCAACACTTCCCCTTCTTTCTATCCCCTTTTGTTCCTCTCTCTTCCTCCTTGCCCTCATCTATTATCATCTTTCCCTTTTCCCTCTTGTTTCTCCCTGCCTGTGATTGTCTTGGTTGTCTCTTCCAGGTATTATGCCATCTGCTGCCAGCCTCTGGTTTACAGAAACAAGATGACCCCTCTGCGCATCGCATTGATGTTGGGAGGCTGCTGGGTCATTCCTATGTTCATATCTTTTCTCCCTATAATGCAAGGCTGGAACAACATCGGCATAGTTGATGTGGTAAGTGTACACTCAAAAACCATGGGTTAGTATCCACTCCATGTTGCTAGGCATTCTAGGTAAACAAATACCTTGTGTTTTTAAAAGTTTATTTATTTATTATTTAAGAATTTCACATATGAGCACAATGGATTTAGACCACATGAACCTCTAGACCGCAAAGGCATTTCCATGACTGTCTTTGTTTCTTTTCCTGTAATAAGAAATTCCCTGACAGAGGCAACTTAAGGGAGAAAGGTCTTATTTTAGTCCACAGTTTAAGTTGTCCATCATGGCAGAGAAGTCAAGGCAGCAGGAACTTGAAGCAGTGAGTCCCTTATTGTCTGCACTCAGAAGTGAACAATGGAACTACTCAATTGTTGATGTTCCTCCTCCTCCTCCTCCTCCTCCTCTTTATTTCTTCTTCTACATTCCAGAACCCCTGACTAGAAAATGGTCCTGTCCACAACTAAGATAGGTCTTCCCATACCAATTACAGTACTAAAGATAATCCTCTGCAGACACACCCAGAGGCCCTTCTTGCAAGAGATTGAAATTCTGTCAACTTGACAACTAACTCTAATCAATACAATGTCAAATTTTGCATTGCTCAATTTCAGCAAGAATGCCATGAAGTTGATTGATCCTAAATCCTCCATCTTCAATAAAGGATCAGGTACTTTATCCTTCACCTTCCCCAGGTTATGTCTGATTACCCTGGCTTGTCTTCAGTGAGAATACTGCTAAGTTGGCTTAGGTAGAATTCCACTTGTTCTTCCCATTTACTCTTTTGTTGTGGTTTGGTTTTGGGTTTTCTGAACAGGGTTACTCTGTCCAAACACGAGCTGTTTTAGACTCACTTTGTAGACCAGGCTGTTCTCAAACTCACAGATATCCTCCTGCCTTTGACTCCTGAGTGCTGAGATTAAAAGTGTGCACCACCTTTGCCCAGCCCATTTACTCTTAATAACTTTCTGTGCAGTGATCCTCCTCAATCAACTCCTGGGCTATAAATCCCCACTCTTTTTCTTTGTTGTGTTTAGAGTTGAATCTATTTTCCTTCTCCAAAATCACAATAGTTTCTTTTTCTTATGAAAATGCAGAATAAAGGCTGCTTAGCAAGTGTTTTAAATATTTTTTAACATTACTGTGTATCAGACAGGATAATAAACATTATATATTACCCCAAAAGAATATCTTGGGAAGAGTATAATTATGTCCACTTTAAGATAAGCAGGCTAATTCCATTCCCCATGACACATAGTAGACCAGGGACGGATTTAATATTTATCAATCAGTTCCCAGAACGTTAGGCATATCATACATTCAGAGAAGCCTTCATTCCATTTTATACTGAGCATCTATAAGATTTGCAGTGCCAAGGGAAAGACATAACATGTGAATGGAGTCTTCCAGGGAATGAGGAGCGTCCTGGGCCAGAAGTTGGAGAACTATGCTGTGAGTCCTGCTCTGTTAATATCCAACTTCCTGAGAGATTGTATTAAAAAGAGAAGTTGGTACTGTGTCTAATATGAGTATTAAGGGGACATATACAATATATTATTCAAACTCTGGCTATTGTTTTTCCAGAGAAATAGAAACAATAGGATGTTTGTGTGTAACTTCATCTATCTATCTATCTATCTATCTATCTATCTATCTATCTATCTATCATCAGTCTGTCTGTCTACCTGTTCATTATCTATCTGTCATCTGTGTATCTGTCTATCTACCATCTACCTACCTACCTACCTATCCTTCCCTTATCATGTATCTGTTAACCTATCTACCTGATACTTAGATAACAAAAAAGAGAAACAGAGTCAGATATATGGACATAATGTAACTGGTCCATGTGGTTATGCAAGTTGACAGTTCTCAGCAAACTAGAGACTTAGGAGAGCCAATATTTTAGTTCAAGCCAAATACAGAAAAAAATAATGATGGCCCTTCATTAAGTCAACACATCAGTTCCCTCTTACTTAGTTTTCTTGTTCTAGTCAGGCTTTTAATAGGTTGGATCAGTGCTGAATTGGAAGAGAAAATGGATTTAAACAATCTGCCATGTAATCTTAATCCAAAATATTGTCGTGCTCAAAGTTGGGTATTACCAAATGTCTGGATACCCCATGGCTTTGTAACACTGACACATAATATTAATCACCTCACTGTCAAAATCATTTACTCTGGCACAATAAAATTATAATGCCAGTTAAAATGGATGGTCTGGGTTTGTTGCCAGGGCTACCTATTTCCCAAGAAAGATGGCATGCAATCACTTAAAGCCAGTCCTAAGGTCCTACTAGATGTGGGAAAAGGAACAGAAAGAAGAGACTGAGAATGAGTTCTGGCCCAAAAGGATCAGAAAAAAAAATCCCCTTCTTTTGTACACACATTAAGCATTAAGGATTTTAACCTCACATTCAAAGGAATTCTACGGTCAGGACTTAACATTTCAAAACAGGAGCTCTTGAGCTTCTGAAACAATAGGAGAGCCAGGTAATAAAGAGATAAGGACTCCATCCTGGAAGAAGGTATAGATAATTTCTTAAATTCCATGCTATTTCTTTAAGATTGTTAGTTTTTTTTAACCTAGAGAAGAAATTAAATACCATATTCCAACTAATACTGTAATTCCAACAATAACAATAGTGACAGTCAACAAATGTTTCGTACTTACCATGTATCAAGCCCCATATTAATCAGTATTTCAGTGAACCTCATTTGGGGACATTTTTCACTCAGTTGAAACACTTGTGCTTTTAAAGCTAGGCTTGGCATAATTGTTCCTCTTCATCCTCAGCTTATAAATGGACACTGAGCCAACTCACAGAAGGGGGTTTAACATTGTGACCAATGTCTCCTTTTACTTCTTTGCTACCATTTACTAAACACGTTAGGCAATATACTAAATTTTTCATGATTTAATGTCATTTAGTCCATGCACTATTCCCATGCTTAATATTCATTTTATAAAGAAAATTTTGACTGCAAAGTACATGTGTTTAACAGTTGTCCTACTTGTTAATTTGTTCATTCAAGAAATATTGATTGAATGTCTACCAGGTTTTATAGATTTCCAAGAAATCAATCTCAGCATTTCAACTTTTGTGGCACTTAAGATTGAGTAAGAAAAACCACACTATATTTCAAGTGTTTGTTTTTTATTTCAAATAAAACTTCAAAACAAGTAAAAAGATACCAGGTAATGAGAAAATGTTGCTGCTTTATTTGTAAAATTTACCGCAGTGGATAAGCTATGGCTGGACCCCAGCCCTTCAGGATGATCCAGAACAAGCCATATGCAAACAAATGCTCATAGAAAAGTTACCTGGAACCAAATTTGTAGCCAATGCAAAGGCCCTCAGTTGGGAGCATACTTTGTTGATTCTAAGAATGTCAGGAGCAGAGGTTGGACATCTGGTCTTGGGCCAGATGATTGTGTTTGTTTGTCTTTTCACTTTGGGCAATAGCGGGCTTTTAAATTTTACTTTGAAACTGGAGGGTTCATGGCAAAGAAGTGGTATGACCTCTTTGTGTTTCTGAAGGATCATTATAGGTAGTCTGCAGAAGATAGTGGTAGGGCTACGGGAAATTTGGAAAGCCTTGGGAAGAAACTGCAACAGTCCTGCTAAATGGTGACAGGAAGGTGAAGCAAGATGGCAGTGCTCTGAAGTGGAGAGAAGATGTGAGAGTTCCGATGTTCTCTCTCTCTCTCTCTCTCTTTCTCACTCTCTCACTCTGTATCTGGTAGCTGCATTTCTAGGGGTTGTGTCTGTATTACTGAAGAGAGGAAATGATGGCCCAATCCTTGTCACCTATGTTCAACCTGTCAGAGGCAGGCAGCACGTGATGCACTAAAAGGAAGCAGATATCTAGAAGCTAGGCAATAAGGACTACATTTTACTTCAATTTGGGGCTGAAGAGATGGCTTAGTAAGAAGCCATAAGAAGATAAGAAGATGTATAGCACACACACCAGGTGACTGCCTGTAACTCCAACTCTAGGGAGGCCAACACCGCTGGCTTCCTGGCAACCTGCTCACATGTGAACACACCCACATGTGGGTGCACACACCCCCACACACAATTTTCAGATATTAAATCATTATAAGGTGGGTTGTTAGCAGACTGAAATACTAAATAAAGAGTTAGAGTAGGCTCTCTTGAGAAGGTGACATTTGAATAAAAACTTTAAAGAGATGGGCGAACTATACTTGTAGAAATGTTGGAGAAGCCTACAGTGGACAGAAAATAGCTGACACGAAGGTCCAGAGGCAAGACGTGCCTGACCTAGGCTGTAACAGAGTTAATGAGGAGGAAGATAAGAGCACAGGAAAGGAGCTTAAGAAATGATAGAATCAAGTAAAATAAAATAGGGAGATAAGGCATTGGCCTTATGAATGATATGGCGTTACAACAGGGTCTGAGCACATATTATTAATATTTACATTATTAAAGTGATTTATAATATTTGAAAGAATCCTCACTTTTTTCTGTTAAAATGTAAACATTAAAGAAGTCTGCTAGAGTGATGTCATAGGTAAGAGACAATGGTGCCCTGGCTTTAGTGGAGCAATGGAGACTGTGATTCAGAACAGAGGTGTGTAGCTTTTTTAAATTTATTTATTTTTTTATTAATTACAACGTATTCATTTTGTATTCCAGCTATAGCTCCCTCCCTCATCCCCGCCCAATCTCACCCTTCCTCCCTCTTCTCCTCCCATACCCCTCCCCCCTCCATCTCCCTTCCATCTAATCCTAGCCTGTCAGATCTCCTAAGGACTGGCTACATTGTCTTCTTTTGTGGCCTGGTAAGGCTGCCCACCCCCAAGGGAGAGGTGATCAAAGGGCCAGCCACTGAGTTCATGTCAGAGACAATCCCTGTTCCCATTACTAGGGAACCCACTGGACACTGAGCCACCATGGGCTACATCTGTGCAGGGGTTCTAGGTTTTTAATATAAACAGGATCTTCTGTATGGTTAGAAGAGAAACATGAAAGAGAAACATTAGTTAAATA